AAGCAACCCAAGTGTCCCTCAACTGATGATTGGATAAAGAAGATGTGGTATATATATACAATGGAATACTACTCAGCCATCAAAAAAGACAAAATCGTCCCATTTGCAACAACATGGATGGACCTGGAGGGTATTATGTTAAGCGAAATAAGCCAGACAGAGAAAGACAAACACCACATGATCTCACTCATATGTGGAAGATAAACCAACACACAGACAGAGAGAACTGTGTGGTGGTTACCAGGGGCAAGGGGGCTGGGGGGTGGGCACAAGGGGTGAAGGGATGCATTTATATGGTGACTGACAAACAATAATGTACAACCAAAATTCCACAGTTACAAACTACTAAGACATCAATTAAAAAAAAAAAAAACAGGATTGACGCGGAAGGGAGAAAGGTCCACTGCTATACCTCCCAACAAGTACCCATCACAAGGAAGAGCCTCCAAACCCTTGTGCCTCTTCTCTCCCTTCTTTTTGCCCCCTCCCCCCAATTTAATGAAGGACCACTTACAGAGGTGATGGCAGCACTGAACCCTTCCTGAGACATCTCATACTCAAAGGAGCTGGCACTTCCTGTCCGAGTACCTGTGAGGAGGAGAACTTTCTACATTAAAGAAAGCAGAAGAGGGCTGGCCCTGTGGCTTAGCTGTTAAGTGCGTGCGCTCTGCTGCTGGTGGCCCAGGTTCGGATCCCGGGCGCGCACTGACGCACCGCTTCTCCGGCCATGCTGAGGCAGCATCCCACATACAGCAACTAGAAGGATGTGCAGCTATGACATACAACTATCTACTGGGGCTTTGGGGGAATAAATAAATACATAAAATTAAAAAAAAAAAAAAAAGAAAGCAGAAGAGCCTAGAATGAGCTGGAAACTCAAATACTATGGTGGCCAGACAAAGAGATTCAGATAGAAGCTATGTTGAACTAGACAGCATATGCCCCTTTTAAAGGGATGGTGGCTATTCGGCTCCAGCCACTTTTTGCCAAGTGGTAATGTGGCCCTCAAGGTATCTGATCTTCCAAGTTTTCAAAAGAAGCCATGAATCTAGATTGTATATGAACCTTCCCTCAATTTTTAAATTCTTTTATTCAACAAACACTTATTGAGCACCCTCTATATACCAGGCACTATTCTAGGCACTGGGGATACAGCAGTGAACCAAACAGACAAATGTTGGCAACACATCCAAATTTTTGGAAAAATACTGTCTGGGATTTGGCTCCGCTACCCTCCAATTTTTCAGCCTATAGCCAAAACTTGCAAATTTAGAGATAAAAGTCTAGATCCTTCAATTTCAAAGGAATTGCCCAAGAGAGGCCCGAGTTGCTGGAAACTGGAGGAAGTGGAGAGAGAGCTGATGATGAGGGTGAGAATACCAAGGATTAGGAGGTTCTAGTTTCTAGAGGGGAATACGTTTTGGGGTAATGGGCTGCCTCTGGAGCTGCTCCAGGAATACAGAACCCTAGCTCACCTTCGACTGCAAAAATCTTTTCCTGAAGTTGGTTCTGAATGGTCTTCAGAGCCTCAAAGTTATTCACTCGGAACACATGATCACGAGATGGCTTGGACGCAATGGTATTAAGCTCTTGGCGGGATTTCTCACTGTTGAAGGCATCTCCCACCTGTTACCAAGGAACAGAGGCTCAATCAGACACTGTCTAGGGGTAGAAGTCTCATCCAGCAAAGAAAATTCTTCAGGAAAGGAATCTGAAACAATATTTGTCAAATGAGGGAATACACCAGAAGGCCCCAGGGACAGGGCTGCCAACTATAGTAGAGCAGGTTGTACACTGCACAAGGCATTCTGTCAAGGGAGCAATTGGGGGCTGAAGCCCAGCCTTTTGTCCATTTGCTGGACACACCCAGGAGGGTGTGGGGTTGGCCTCTCCCAGAGAAAGGGAGCCTTTTTCTTTACATGAAGGTGTTCCCTACCTGCCACCCCATGTACCTTTTTCTATGTCACACAAGGTACTGTGGTAGTTTGATTACACTGATGATCCCAACCCTTTACCACTTCCTGTACCCAAGCCCTTTTCCCACAACTTTGCTGTGCCCTCCTACTCTTGGCAGAGTAATCTGCCCCACTCATTGTCTCTGGGCTGAGCCATGTGTCTTGCTTTAGCCCATGGATGTTATCAAATGTGATGCTAACAGAGGCTAGAAAAGGTGCTTGCCACATTTCCACTTGCTCTTTTATTCCTCTGCCTTCACCATGAGGACATGCCCAGGCTAGCCCACTGGAGGATGAGACACTGGGAGCAGAAGAGCCAAATTATCCCAGCTGTTCCTGCCATTCCAGTCCAGCAGACAAAGCTGGCAACCCACAGAAATGGAGAGAGCCCAGCGAAGATCAGCAGAGTAGCCAACCAACCTGCAGCTGATCACAGACGCACGAGGGAGCCCAGCTGAGACCACAATTGCCCAGCTGACCAACAGACTCACTTACTGTTTTAAACCACTGAATTGGGAGATAGTTCGTTACACAGCATCATTGTGACGATAGTTAACAAATACAAGCACATACGGGCTAGCAGTGATCCGTGCCCCACTTTGATTTCATCGATATTTGCAAATTGAAGGGAAGGTATATCCAACCGGAAACCCTCCACAGAAGCATCAGGCGGACAGCCTCATTTCCTACCCCAATGACATAGCGAATGACTCCCGCTTGGTCTGCCTCAGGGATGACATCCTCGTAACCCAAGGGATCGCCAAACTTTTCTCCATCCGTGATGACAACTAAGATCTTAAGAGCATTCTCCCGGGCTCCACTGCTGCTGTGAAACAGTTCTTTTCTGTCAGCGGAAAAGGAAGGACAAAGTAAAACGCAAGCAGACAGAGATACTCTCAGTGCCTGGGAGGGAATGTGGGCGTCCCAGACGCAGAGGCAGCTGAGCTCTGTCTAGGAGGGGCTTGGGATCCCATGGGATGAACACTGAGATGTGGCTGCCCCAAGACCTGGAAAGGCAGCAGCAGAGGGAGGGAAAGGAAGCCTTCACTGACTTAATATACTTTTGCATAGGTTGATTTTTTTTCAATTGAGTATTATCCCTTTTAAATTAAAAAACATTTTTTTAAAGAAGCTTAATTGGGCCTTCATCGAACCTCTCCTGGAACACTGCAACTGCTCTCCAGCTCATCTTCCTGCACTTTTGTACCAAACCCTACCCTCACCTCTACACACACACACACACACACACACACACACACACACACACACAGAGTGAACTTTCCAAAACAAGATGTGGTGACATCTCCCCACTGCTTAAAACTTTCAGTGGATCTCCACTGGCTCTTCAGTTGCCTATAGTGACCTGGCCTCAACCGATCTTTCTAGCCTCCCTCCAGCCTTCTCCTCTCCTCCCCCCTCTAGTCCCATCTTTACTTACAACTTGCTTTTTCATGAACATACCACGCATAATCCCTCCTCCAAACCTTTACTCATGCTGTTCCCTCCACGAGGAATACCCTTTACCCCATCCCTATCTAAACAACTCCCCTCATCATTCAAAACCTAGCTGAAAATATCACCTCTTCCTTCCATCCTAAGCAAAGAGGGAAGAGCTTACACTACTTTGAGGATTCCTGTGGCAGTGTGTGTCCTCCCAAACAGCTGTCTTATGGGCCTCACCAGCGCTCTCGGGTTAGGGTTGTTAGCGAAATCCTTGAAGGTGAAATGAGTCTGGAAGTCTTCAGAGTACTGCATCAAAGAGAACTGGGCAGAGGCACCTGGTGTTACACTGGAGAAGGTGCCTCTCCTCCCCCTCCACCATCTCCCAGCAAGCCCTACATAAATCTTGAAACACTCCAATCTCCCAATTCTCACTGCCCCCAATCCTTCTGCCTCACCAGAACAGAGATCTGCCATCAGCTCCCACTTCTCAGTACTAGAACTCAGCCAGAGAAGACAGGTGAGTTTCATCTCCCATGCCAACCCCTATCAATTAGTCTGAGCTGCCTATTTATGGAGGGCTGGAAGAATCGTGACACTGCATCCAGACACGGCAGGAAAGAGAATCGGGAAAGAAAACCAAGATGGATTGGCAATTTGGCAATGTCTGCAATTGAAGTAGAAGGGGAAAATGGTGGCCTAGTTGCCATGTACTGCCAGCCTTATATGGACTATTCCCTAAACCACCCGTTGCCCCTCACCAAGGTTCTGGACTTTTCGAATTGATCCATCACAGTTGAGACAAAGTCCTTCATCCGCTGAAAGTCGCTTGGGGTGATGCTACCAGAGCCATCAATCAAGAAGGCGATGTCACTGTCCTGCTGAGGGCACTCTGGGGAAAAGGAAAAAGAGCATGAATTGATTAAGAACGAGAGTCTTGGGGTTTATTTTGTGCGTGTCAGCTCTCTGCTGAGCAATGAGAATAAAAGGTAAACGAGATTCAACCCATGCTCCAAGCTAAATAAAAATATGGACAAAGTGGTATGGAAAAATCTGGTTAACTCTGCCCAAAGGAGTCAGGGAAAGTGGTGATATCAGAGCTGGCTCATGAAGAATGAGAAATAATTGGCCAGAAATACGAAAGGAGAAATAAATTACAGAGAAAAAGGAAGAACACATACAAAGGTATGCTGGATGTCCTCCTCCTTTCTGCCCCCAGCCCCAAATCCACTCACTACCCTCCTCCATTCTGCTCTGCCACCCAGGAAGTCAGCCCACATGGACCACATCAACAAGGCTCCTTTGCCCTCTGGCTTCTAGTTGGATTTGCTCAATTAGCATTCTCAACAGGAGACTGGAGGGAGGGAGGAGAGTGAGATCACAGTGTTCTCCCCTCAGCTCCCTCCCTGCAAGGTTGCTTTGGGCCAGCTGTGTCCCTCAACAGAAGATCACTGCTCTTCTCAAGGAGTCCCACTTCACACGATGCTCTCTCCTTCCAGATTCTGGTGACTTCTCCCTCTCCTCGTCCCATCAGCCTAGGGGTGGTAACAGCTCTGCTGCTGCTGCTTGCCCAGGGTTCCTGGACCATACTTTGTAGTTCCCTTAGACCCCACCACACCTTTATAATTAGTGCCTTTGTAAAAAAAACAAAACAAAAAAACTCTCCTCAAATTATCCTAACTGAGGTGTGCTGTCTGTTCCAGTTGAGACTCTGACTAATACAAAGGGGATGGGCCTAAAAGGATTCTGGCAGAATCAAGGAATGGAAATGGCACTCCTAGGGTAAATCTATGTGATGGGGATGGAGATGAGGCTATGACATTAAGCAGGGAACAGTTGGGAAAGGCCTTCCCAAAAAGAAATTTGACTTTATCCCTTAGGCAGTGGGGAGCCACCGAAGGTTCTTAGAAGGAAGTGAGGTGATCTGTTTTGTATTTTAGAAAGATTGCCATAGCAGTGAAGAGTTTCTAGCAGCTCTATTCATGATTGTCAAACATTGGAAACAACCCAAACATCCTTCACTGGGTGAATGGATGAATTGGTGAATGAGACTGTGGTAAATCCATGCAATGGAATACACTCAGCGATGAAAAAGGAAGGAACTACTGATACACACAACAACATGGATGAATCGCAAATGCATTATGCTAGTGAAAGAACCCACTTATGAAAAAGTTACGATGCCATTTATGTATCATTCTTGAAAGATAAATATAGTTTTTAATATACAATTATATGTTATATATAGTGATGGAGAACAGTATCAGTGGGTGCTAGGGGCTCAGGGGGAGGGGGAGGAGGCAACTAACCATAAAGGGATAGCATGAAGTATTTTTTAGGAGGGTAAGAGAACTCTTTTGTATCTTGTTTATGTTGTTGTTTACACAAATCTATACATATCTTAAAATTCATAGAACTGTACACTAAAAGAAGAAAGGTCAATTTTACTGTATGATCATTGAAAAAAATAAAATAAAATTACCCAAAAATATTATTGGTGGTTTTTTAAATAGATAAGCAGATTCTAACATTTACATGGAAAATATACAAAGATCAGCCAGAAAAATTTTTGAAAATCTCCAATATATGTTAAGTGAAAAGAATCAAGGTACAGGGGCCGACCCCATGGCTTAGCGGTTAAGTGCGCACGCTCCGCTGCCGGCGGCCCGGGTTCAGATCCCGGACGCGCACCGATGCACTGCTTCTCCGGCCATGCTGAGGCCGCGTCCCACATACAGCAACTAGAAGGATGTGCAGCTATGACACACAACTATCTACTGGGGCTTTGGGGGGAAAAATAAATAAATAAAATTATTAAAAACAGGGATTCTAGTATTGAAAAAAAGAATCAAGGTACAGTACGGTGTGTACAGCATGCTACCATTTGTGGCACAAAGTGAGGAATATGGATATGGATATATTTGTAAGACATGGAGTTATTTCCAAAAGAAGACACAAGAAATTAGTAACAGTGGCTGCCTCCCAGGAAGGAAACAGGAAGCTGGAGGACCCAAGAAGGAGAGATTCTTACAGTATATCCTTTAGTGCTTTTTGAATTTTGAACCAAGTGCATGTTTTATCTATTTTAAAAGAAATGAAAATTTTGTGTGTGTGTGTGTGTGTGTGAGGAAGATCAGCCCTGAGCTAACATCGATGCTAATCCTCCTCTTTTTGCTGAGGAAGACCGGCTCTGAGCTAACATCTATAGCCGCTCCTCCTCCTTTTTTTTTTTCCCCCCCCTGGAAGCCCCAGTAGATAGTTGTATGTCATAGTTGCACATCCTTCTAGTTGCTGTATGTGGGACGCGGCCTCAGCATGGCTGGACAAGCGGTGCATCGCTGCGCACCCGGGATCCGAACCCAGGCCGCCAGTGCGCGCACTTAAGCGCTAAGCCACTGGGCCGGCCCTAAAAGAAATGAAAATGTTTTTAAAAGAAGAATCTTGAACTCCTGAGAGTGAGGACTAAAGAGAGAAATGTAGGGTTGGGAGCTGAAGCCACAGAACTGGGTGTGATCAGGAAGGAAGAACAGATGGGCAAGAATAAAAGCTGTAACCTGATGCCCCAGGCAAGAAAGGCAGAGGAAGAAGGCTGGGGGATAAAGCTTAGCAGAGGCCCTCACAGTGGGAGAAGCAAGGGGAAAGGAATGGGAGGGGACAGGGCAAGAGGGGAAGGGAGGAGAGGGGAAGGGAGGGGAAGAGATGTCTGAGGCCAGGTGTTTGGAGAAGGAAGAGGCGATCTGCAGGTCACATCGGAGAGGTCAGTGAACATGAGGACAGAAAAGAGATTTAGCATTTAGAAGGTCACAGATGCCATTTGCAAGAGCAAGTTCTGTACAACAGGCGGGCAGAAGCCAGATGTCACAGGGTGAAGAATCCTGACGTGGGGGAAATGGAGACAAGGGGAGAGAACCCTTTCAAGAAGTTTGGTGGTGAAGGGAAGGAGAGATGGCGGAAGATGGGGAAGAGTCCAGACAGAGGGAAAGTTATTTCCATTACTATCAAATTTGGCGGTTGATTGTTTTTAAGATATAGGTAGCATGAGCATGTTTACACTTGAAGGAGGTGGAGAAATTTAAGCTCCTGGAGAGAATGAGTGATTGAAGATGCGGGCCCCAGAGTTGGTGATGTGAAAGAGCCTCAAAAGCCCAAATGGAAGAATTACTCATGGAAAGGTGGAGAGATGGGTCTTCCTCTAAAACCGGTGAGACACTGCCAAGGGTGGTGCCATCGTGGAAATTTGGACAAGAATAAAGGGAAAGTGTAGGGAGTTCATGCATGGCAGCCTTGGTTTTCTCTGTGAAGAAAGAGGGAACATTATCTGTTGAGAGTAAAGTACAAAGGAGCAGAGCTTAAGAAAAAAAAAAAAAACCATGAAAGGAAGACAGGTCATCCCTTGGTTCCAGAACCGACTTGGAGACAAGGAAAGATGGCCAAGCAGTTGAAGAAATCAATGGCAGAAAGTAGCTTGAAAAAAAGATTCATTCACTCACTCACTCTCCTTCAACCAACAAATGTTTGGGGAACAGGGGTGTGGTAGGTAGCCAACAAGATGATCTCCAAGATTCTCACCTCCTGGTAATAATATCCTTGCATAGTGCCCTCCTCTTGAGTGTGAGCTGCACTTTTTGACTCACTTCAAAGGAACATAATATGGCAGAAGTAATGAGCTGTTACTTCTGAGATTAGATTATAAAAAGACTGTGACTTCTGTCTTGGGTGCCCACTCTCTTTTGCTCTCTCACTCTTTGTCACTCACTCAGAGGGAAACCAGTTACCATGTTTGAGCTGCTCTATGGGGAGGCCCATGTGACAAGCAATTGAGGGAAGCCTCCAGCCAACAGCCAGTGAGTACCGAGGCCCTCAGTCCCGCAACCTTGTAAGTGAGCTTAGAAGTGGATCTTCCCCCAGTCAAGCCTTCAGATGAGAACACAGCTCCAGTTTGACAAGTTAACTACAATCTCATGAGAGACCCTGAGGCAGAGGCATCCAGCTAAGCCGTGCCCAGATTCCTGATTCACAGGAACTATAAGATAATTAAAGCTTGCTGTTTTAAGCTGCTAAGTTCAGGGGCAATTTGTTAAGCTGCAATACATACAAGGGCACAGAGCAGTGCAGAAGCTAGACAATATCCCTGCTATCATGGAGCCTCTGTTCCAGAAGAAAGGACAGATAAGAAACAAGGAAAAGGGGCTGGCCCTGTGGCATAGTGGTTAAGTTCGCAGGCTCCACTTCAGTGGCCCGGGGTTCACAGGTTTAGATCACAGGTGTGGACCCATGCACCACTTATCAAGCCATGCTGTGGCAGGCATCCCACATATAAAATAGAGGAAGATGGGCACAGATATTAGCTCAGGGCCACTCTTCCTCAGCAAAAAAAGAAACAAGTAAAATATGTATGTATAGATATGAAAATGGTAAAGTAAGGCAATGCAGTAGAGAGTGATGGTGGGAATGATTAGAAGGGCCACTCAAGGAAGGCCTCTTTGAAGGAGTGACATTTGAGCTGTGATGACAATAATGTGTTGTCGGCTGAGATCTGGGGGAAGAGCATGCCAGGCTGAAGGAACAGTAAGTGCAAAGGCCCTGAGGCAAGGACAGCTTGTTGTGGTTGTTGGAGAAGAAGGGCAGCCAGAGTGGCTGGAGCACAGTGACTGAAGTAGAGGGATGGGTAAGAAGTTGGAGAGGTGGACAGTGGCCACACCATCTAGAGCCTCAAAGGCTATGGTCAGGACACTCAGGCACTTACTCTAAGGACAATGGTTGGGACATCAACTCACAAAGATGAGTGGCTGTATCAGGACTTTTCTTAAAGTGCAAGACCCTAGCATCTCCCTCCTCCAGCCTCTCTCTCTATTGGAACCAGTTCCCTCATCCACCCGCACCTAGACCTCTAAGTCTCCCCCTAGACCATGAGCAGTCCCCAGCCAAGACCTGCCCCCACCCTCATGCTGCCCATCTGTACCCTCTTCCAAAGGTGACCTACCTCTGAGGGTCTCTGGGAACATCTGGGGCTGCTGCAATAGGTTGGCTCCAAACAGGAAGCAGAAGCCATTCACATAGGTGTTCTCTTTGCAGGTTTGGTGCACGGTGGGGCCGCAGGCCTGGGGGGCAGGGTACAGGTGGGAGGGCCTGTCCCTGCTTCCTGTCCACTCACCTCAGCATCTCCACCCTCCACAAGAACCCAGCCCCGGCAGCCTTGGATCCCCAACTCCTTCCCTCAGGACTCCTTCCCTCCCGAGACCCAGGGCAACTCACCAGCAGCCGAAAAGGGTTGGTGGCGAACGCCAAAGACAGGCCCAGGGACATGTTCACAGACTCCGGGGGGACTGAGGACAGATATATACATGGTCACCCTCAGGGGGCTGAAAGGGACTATGTAAGAGCTGGACAGGGGTCACCGTGACCTGGGAGACACAGAGGTCTGACAGGTCAAGGGGGCACCTAGGTCGTGGGGAAGGAACATGGAGGGGGTGCCTGAGGGTGTCTGAGGTAGAGTCTGCATATAGCACAGAGGCTGGGGAGCTGGACCCCTGGGCCCCCCACCACAGACCCCCTTGAACAGACCTCCAGAACAGAGGGAATGCCTGTGGAGTCCAGGTGTACGCACAGGTGGAACCCAAGCCCTGGGTCCCAGGGAGGGGCAGCAACTCACCCTGCAGGCGGATGGGCTCACACCTGCCCGTGCTGTAGTCACATTGGTAGAGGCCACCTGTTTGGTTGGCAGCCTTTATCTCCTGGGGGGCTCCAACCACCACCCTGGGGGGAGAGGTGGGAACAGATCACCACCGGGACAAAAGACAACTCTAACTTGTCGGGAGAGAAGACCATGGAAGTTCTGCCCACCCAGAAGAAAGTGGGGGAGCCAACCCTTACAAGATTCTCCAATTCCCAGAAATAGGAGGAAGACTCAGCAAAGAAAAAAATGTGAAAATTCTAAATCTTGGAGGGGGAAGGGCCTCTCTAAGAATGATACAAAACCCAGACGTCATTAAAAAGTGAATAAATTCAACCACACAGTCATTTTAAATAAATTTCTGCATGGGATCAACTATCCTAAGCAAAGTCAAAAGTCAAAGAGTCATGTGGGGGGAGGGAGATGAGCATCTCGTACCCCAGCCCCTTTCCTCCATGTAGTCAGAGCTCCCACAAACCAATAACAAAAACAAAACAATAACCCAACAGAAAAATGGGCAACAGATAAGAAAAAAGTGTTCACAGAAAAGGAAATACATCTCTCATTTTTTTGTGTGTGTGTAAGGAAGATTGGCCCTGGGCTAACATCCGTGTCCATCGTCCTCTACTTTATATGGGACGCCGCCACAGCATGGCTTTATGATAAGCGGTGCATCAGTCCGCACCCGGGATCCAAACCTTGTGAACCCCGGGCCACCGAAGCAGAGCACATGAACTTAACCGCTATGCCAACGGGCCGGCCCCGTCTCTCATTTTTGAAAAGTGCAATTTAAAACAAAATTGAGGGGCCAGCCCCCTGGCTTAGCGGTTAAGTGTGCGCGCTCCGCTACTGGCGGCCCAGGTTTGGATCCCGGGCGCGCACCAACGCACCGCTTCTCTGGCCATGCTGAGGCCGCGTCCCACATACAGCAACTAGAAGGATGTGCAGCTATGACATACAACTATCTACTGGGGCTTTGGGGGGAAAAAATAAATAAATAAAATCTTAAAAAAAAAAAAAAAAGGGGGAAGATTGGCAAAAGATTTTGGCTCAGAGCGGGTCTTCCTCAGCAAAAAGAGGAAGATTGGCATGGATGTTAGCTCAGGGCTGATCTTCCTCACAAAAAAATAAATAAATAATAAAAAAATAAAACAAAATTGAGATACCATTTCTCACCTATTCAGTTTGCAAAGATCAATAAGTTTGATAACACATTGGGTAGGCAAATGGGTGCAGAAGTAGGTGTGTCCATTTCTGGTATAAGTGTAAATTGTTGCCACCTCTATAAAGAGTAATCTGGAAAAATCTATTAAAATCACATATGCATTTGTACCCTTTGATCCAGCAATCCTAGTTCTGGGAATTTATTTCCAAATATCCTTGCACATAAGAAAAAAGCACTGTTTGTTTAGCAAAAGTTTGGAAACAACCTAATGTCCATTAAGAAGAGATTTAAATGTAATAGAAACGTAAATTATGGTACCTCCAAACAACAGAATATGATCTAAGCATCAAAAAGAATGAGTAAGCTCTTTATAAGCTTATCTGGTAAAATCACCAAGCTCTATTAAGAAAAAAAAAATGCAAAAGACAGTGTAGAGCAGAGGCCAGCAAACATTTTCTGGAAAGGTAATATTATTTCCGTAAAGGCTTTGCAGGCTGTGTAGTCTCTGCCGCAGCCTCTGGATTCTGCCATTTTGGCTCCAAAGCCGCCATAAACGATAAATGACGATGGCGGGGGCGGGAGGTGCGGCGAGGTCAATAAAATGCATTATAAAAATAGGCAGCCGGCGGTGGTTTGAGTATAATGCGTGCTACAAATTGTGTGCGGGATGGGGTCAGGGGAATGCGGAGGGGTATATAGCGGAGAATCTCTTGGGAAGAACACACAAGACACCAGGTACCAGACCCGCCCCCCCCCCCGGGAAGGGAACTGTGGGGAGGGGCGTGCGGAGGACCTTTGTACTATTACACTCTTTTGTATCTTTTGAACCCTATAACTGTATTACCTATTCAAAAAATAAATCAAGAAAAAGACAAATCAAGGAAATTGCGACTTTTTTTTTTCAGAAATACAAGTTTTGGAGGAAGAGCGGATGAGACCCGGCTCTCCACCTGTGCCCTTACCGGGATCCCTCGAGCTGGACCACGGTCTGCCCGAAGCCCCTTGCGTTCTCTTGGAAGATCATTGCGTTTTCAGTGTCCAGGTTGAACCCATGACATAAGGCCAAGGCTGAGGGAGAACAAGGGAGTGAGGGTCAGGTGGAGATAAGGAGATGGTTAAGAAAGCAGCTTGGGCCCGGCGTGGCTTAGCAGGTAAGTGCCGGCGCTCTGCTACTGGCGGCCCCCATTTGGATCCTGGATGCACACGGAGGCACCGCTTGTCCGGCCATGCTGAGGCCGAGTCCCACATACAGCAACTAGAAGGATGTGCAACTATGACATACGACTATCTACTGGGGCTTTGGGGGGGAAAAAAAGGAGGAGGATTGGCAATAGATGTTAGCTCAGAGCTGGTCTTCCTCAGCAAAAAGAGGAGGATTAGCACGGATGTTAGCTCAGGGCTGATCTTCCTCACAAAAAAAAAAAAAAGAAAAAGCAGCTTGCCCTTCTGTGCCTGCATCTTCCTGCCAGGATTCACCCTAACCCAGCACCGAGATGTCTGCCTCCCAGGTCCAGCTCTGATAGCCTGGGGCAGAGGTCAGCATGCTTTTTCCATAGAGGGCCAGATAGTAAATATTTTAGGCTTTATGGGCCAAGAGGCAAATAGAGTATATTACGTGCAGGCACTTATATAACAAAAGAGAAAATGCACTTCCACAAATTTTTCATTAAGAAAATTCAAAATATAATAATTGTGTATAATTTTTTTGTAATACAAATTTACTAAGGAGACAAATGGACTTCTTTGGGAAAGATAACATTTCACATCATTGGGATTCAAAGTTAGTGTTCCCTATCATGAATCAATTATAAACGCTCATCTACGACCTCTGGCTCACATAGGTCAAACAGGTGGTGGAATCCTTGCCTTAGCCCAAGGCCAGTATGCTAACCTTTAGCCTAAGGACCACCATCGTGGGGTGCATTCAGCCCCTCTCTGAGCTCCACCCTGTGTTCTTACTTTGCTGATTTGCCCGACAATCAAGTTCCCAAAGACTCTCAGTTAGGCAATTTCCATCCTATGCAACTCGCAAACATTTCTTTCCCCTCTTTGGCTCATTCACCACAAAACACAGGCATAAAAGGATTTTGATCAGTCAGTCATTCAACAAACATTTACACCTGGGTCCTTGGAAAATAGAACTGGAGGCAAAGTGGAGGTGGTGAGGTGGAATCCAAGAAGAAACACCCTGAGAAGAGAATCTAGTACCTGCTGAGCACCCTTGGGCATGTCATTTCACCTCTCTGGGCCTCAGTTTCCTCACCTGCAAAGTAAAAGGGCCAGCCGAACCCCCCTTGTCATTCGTCCGAGCTTCTCTGGTCATCCCACCTTGGTCTAGCTCTACTCTCTGCTTCCTCTTGAATCTCTTGTCCTTCCCCAAATCCCCTAGTCTAAATCCTAGATATTCTGCACCCTTTCTCTGCAATCACAGACTCCAAAGTTCCCCTTCTCCTCACCCTGAGGGCCCGCCCAGAGCCCTGGCGCACCTGTTAACAGAAGGACTCTGTGAGTCATGGCTGGAGGGAGCAGAACCAGGAGGCTGCACACACCACAGAGCCACTTGAAGGAAGCCACCAAAGCCAAAAAGGCCAGAAAAAGAGAAGTAGGAGGCAGAAGTCTGTAAGCAACCCAAAGGAAGAGGGCGGGGGCTCAGTGAGCACACAGCCCTGCTTGACCTTCCTCTTGGGGCTACACGAGCCTGTGCTCCCTCCCTACCCAGCTTCCTGCCCAAACCATCAAGGTCACTATCCCAAAGGTGTTCTTTGTTCGCCCACCTGCTGCTAGGTTGGCCAAAGCACTATGAAAGGCAAGCCGAATAGACGGAGGGCCTGCCTCCTGGAAGGTGTGTTCTAAACATCAATACAAATCAAGCAAGTGTGGGAGGTCACAGCCTGTGTGCCCCTGAAAGTGTACTTTGCAAAATGTCCTTCCCTCCTGCCCAGGGAAACAGGAGCACCCTTCAGCCAGACCTGGCCTCCTTCGTAGCGGTCAATAAGGACAACTCAGGTACAGAGAAACCTGGTGCTTTTTGAATATTATTTTGCTTTTTAAAAAAAAAAAGCCTCAAACCCTTCACCCAGGAATTCTCACTTCCAAGAATTTATCCTAAGTAATAGCTGAGTACAAAGATGTATGTACAAGATTGTTCATTGCGGCGTTGTTTTCAATGGTGAAAAACTAGAACAGCCTGAATATCCAACAGAGGAATGGTTGAGTGATGTCCACTCTGGGATACATCCTTATATTCCATCATGTCTAGTCACTTCGAAACCTGTTTTCAAAGACACGGAGCACACTTTCATGAAATATAGAGAATACCAAACCGTACCTTGAGTGGGACTGCTAATGCGATCCCCAAGCCAATCATTTTTTCACTCTATCTCCAACACATTTTCTCTTGCTCCTAGTTCTACTTTCTTAATAACCAAAGCAAATAAATGTTTGCTCTCTGAAAAAATTCCATAAAAATTCTGCACATTTTATTTTAAAATGACCTGTTTAAACATATGCGTGGGTAGGAAAACCAAAATGTTAATAGTGGTTATCTCCGGATGATAGGATTATGGATGTGTTCCAGTCATCTATGGCCTCACAGCCAACCGCTCCAAATCTTAGTGACTTAAAACAGCAACTATTATTGTCTCATGGTCCTGTGGGTTGTCCAGCCTCCGCAGTACTCACTGGGGGATCTCATTTGGTTGCAGTCAGATCGTGACTGGGGATGGACTCACCCAAGGCCCAGTTGGGCTGGACTTTCAAAATGGATCACTCACATGGCAGGCAGTTGACGATGGCTGCAGGCAGGGAGCTCGGTTGGGGCTGTCAACTGGAGTAGCTACCTGTGGCCTCTCTATGTGACCTGGGCTTCTCACATCAGCGTGGTTAGATATCAGGAGGAAGTGTTCCCAGAGACAAGAATTGAGAGTTTCCAGTCTCTTAAGGTTTTGATCTGGAAACTGTCACAGAGTCACTTCCACCATATTCTCTTGGTCCAGCAGTGGCAGAGCTTGTCTATATTCAAGGAGAGGGGACATAGATCCTACCTCTCAATGGGAGGTGTGTCAAAGAATTTGTGGTCAACTTGAAGCTGCTACAGGACGATTTTAATTTTCTTCTATATATATTTTGTATTTAAAACTTTTATAAAAAAAATTTGAATGACTTTTATAATCAGAAAGAAAAGAAAAACACCAATATTCAAGGAGAGGGGACATAGATCCTACCTCTCAATGGGAGGTGTGTCAAAGAATTTGTGGTCAACTTGAAGCTGCCACAGGACGATTTTAATTTTCTTCTATATATTTTTTGTATTTAAAACTTTTATAAAAAAAATTTGAATGACTTTTATAATCAGAAAGAAAAGAAAAACACCAATAAATAGCTTAAAACAACAAAGTGCCTACACTTGATAGCAAAAAAAACGGGCTGAGGAAAGAGGAAGAAGGCCGAGGATGAGAGGATGAAAAGATACCAACGGGGTGTGGGGGAGTAATTTAATGGATAAGCTGGGTTGTTTTGGTAAAAGCTTTCACACTCTGACCACCACAGGAAGCTGCTAGAACTCAGATATCGGGGCCCCTCCTTGCCTCAAACAGTAGCCAAGGGCCCACTGTCTGTAAAGGCACAGGCAAAATCTCAGAATGGCTATCCAACCCACAGAGTCTTTCTCAATGATCCACCAATAGGTGTGCACCTGACCAGATGAACACAGGTGGGCACCTATCTACAGGCTTCCAGCCACTCCCTCCCATCCAGCCCCCCACCCCAATTCTTGATAAAATCTTAGCTTGGGTTCCCCTATAAATGGACCCTGAGACAAGGATTCAAGTGCAAGTAATTTACTTGGGAGGTGATTCAGGAAACACTTGTGGGGAAGCAGGGGCAGGAAGAAGCCCCTAAAAGATGTGTGATAAAACAAGGTACTGCTGTGGACAATTGGAGCTCAATACACTGAGGAACTCTGGAAGCCAGCATAGAACATGCCTCAGAGTTGTCTGCCTGAGGGGAGGGGGCGTAGATTCTTATCCACAACTCACATCAGCTATCAGTTGAGGTGTGCTCTGTGGGAAAGCCCTAATTCTCTGGTGCTCCCAACCTGCCCTGACCCAGGCAGAGAAGGCTCCAGGAGCCAGAGACAGCCCTCATGCAAACACTTGCAGGTACTGGCAGCTATAAATCTGGCCAGCTTGCATGAGAATGTTAAACGCTGATGGGACATGAATGGGGCAACTACAGTGTCTGCTACAGATACTCAAATATTTTTTCATAGCACTTTTCATTACATGAAATTACATTATATATTTATTTAGTTTTTCTATTGTTTGGCTCCTCTACTAGAGTATATAAGCTCCATGAGAACAGAGATTCTTGTCTGTCTTTCTCACCTGTCTATTTGCGGTGCACAAAACAGTGCCTGGTTCATAATAGAGACCCCTCCCAAAAAATTAATTGAATCAGAGAGAGAATTCTAGAAAGATGATAGAGTATGAAGGACCAGGAATCCTTCTCCCTGCCTAGACAGCAATTGTACTGGCAGAATCTGTCTGATGTAATCATTTAGGAGCTCTAAAGTCTACCCAATGATTTGTGGCTAATTTCAGTCTATTTTGGCTGTTAGCACTGGAGCAGCCACCAATCCCCCATACCCCCACAGCCCTGTGGCAAGAACCTGTGCATGCATTCACAGAGCAACCTGGATGCAGTTTGTGGTAACCAGAGTGGGCAATGAGACCCCATCCCCGAAATATCAAGGATCAGTGCTCTGATTGTTGATTGTAGCTTCTGATCTCAGAGGTTCAGACACAGAGGCAGGCAGCCATTGTTGGACCCCCTACCCATTGTGCAAGCCCCTCCACCTCTGGCTGAAGCAACTTCCAGGAGATTTAGAGGCCTGGTGCTTTTTTTGCCTCCTTCATTTTCCTCTTTTTTATCCTTTTGGGAGCCAGACATTTAAGAACCAGGACATTCAAAAGCAACCACATACACAGAAGAATTTAGAAAGTCAACATGCATGCCCTAAGAGGAACTTAAGATCTTAAGACCTTAAGCTGATCCCTGGCAGAGAGACAGCCCATAACAATAAAAATAAATAAAAAATAACAGCAAACCCTGGGGAAGGGGAAGAAGCTGATTTCCAGAGTTGCTATATTATTAGATTCAAATGTCCAGTTTTCAAGAAAAAAATCACAGGGCATACAAAGAAACAAGAAAGTATGGTCCATTCAAAGGAAAAAAATAAACAGAAACCATTCCAGAGAAAGACCAGATAGCAGACCTACTAGACAAAGACTTTAAAACAACTGTCTTAAAGAT